GAACCACAGTGAACCCGAGTTAACCACTTCCTATGAAGATAGCCAAAAAGAGAGAGCTTTACATCACAGTTTAATATCTGGGAGACTGGATGCACTCGAGCTCATATATAATGTCCAGCGCACACACTCACGCAGAACCTGCCAACTCCACGTGGAGCAGTGGTGTCAAGCGTAGGGATGAACACAAACTCATTGTAACCTGGGCTGGAAGACATGTCTGACACAGCAGTGCCAGGAGGCCATTACAGGTAAGCAGGCAAATCCAGAGTTCACCTGCAGAACTGCACACCCCAGAGACCGTCCTCCGCTTTCCATAGCTCTATGGGCCATCCCTGCAGCTGGCCATATTAGGCAGAATGGCACTTGACATGCCCCAGCCAGCACAGCAGAGCCCCACTGTGAGGGCAGTGGTGGGTGATTTCAGAGGTCCGGAATGCCAGATAGGCTTATCTAGGCCTGGAGATAGCAGCCTTCCCTGCCAGCTTCACCCCTCCCACCCTACCTCCCTACCTCCTCCTGTGCTCTGCTCGTGGAGCTCAAGAACCACTTGCATCAGCCAAGCCTGGGCTACCCACCACTGGGGAGCCACTGCAGGGGCAGAGATGGGCAAGGGTCACAGTCAGGAACAAAAGGTAGGTGGTGACCCTGCTGGACGTTCACAAAATACAGACATTTCCTTCTCACAAGATAACCCAACAGTTTTCATTCTATAGGTTGGCCCCGTTCCTGCTGGTGACAAGAGTCCATGAGTCATTTCCTGTGAGCATGTTTTTATGATGTACAAATGCCTTCTGGTCTGCGCTGGTTATCTGTGATTACTGAGCAACCCCATGGAAGGTGGTAGAAAGAAAGAACCCAGGGTCGGAAATCCAGGGCTCGTCCTCAATGGTCCCCTAGGTCCTCTGTTTGACCCTGCAACCCTCTCTTCACAGCCTGGCCCCCGGGAGGCCGTTCTTTCCGGGTCACTTCCTGCACATCCACCTATTTTGCTCTCTCTGGCTCTCACCCTCTCCCCACTCTCACCTTCATTCCTCTTACAAAGCCACACACTCTTCCTGGAATACAGCTCCCTGTCCTGTGTTCCCTCAGCTCGGCGAGGCAAACTTCTTCTCATACGTCAAGCTCCAAATCATACCTTCTCTTCCAGGAAGCATTGCCAGGCTGCTCCGGTCATGCTCAGTCATTGCTTTTCTAGACTCCTGCAGACTGTGTACACACCTGTCTCGTCACTTAGGATACCAGTGAAAATACTGGCCAAGCATGTGCGGTTCACTTATATGTACCAGGCAACATTCTAAATCCCTCACAAAGATCGCCTGAGTTAGTGCTCACAGCAACTCCATGAGAGAGCGACCATTGCTATCCTCATTTGACACAGATCGCTACTGAGGATCCATGATTTAAGCAACCTGCCCAAGGCCACCGAGCTATCTCGTGGCTGACTGGTACCTAGGCAAGTGACTGGCTCACAGCAACCGCTCAATAATTATTCACCTCAGGAATGACTGGATAAGTTAATAAATACAGAAATAATTATGTTTCTGTCTCCCAAACTGCTGAGAGCCACTTCTCATTTGTCTTTCAAGCCACCTCCCCTGTCAGGTGCATAGAGCGCTAGAAATACCTGCTGAATGAATGAACAAAAGAATATTGGAGCCAACCCATCAATAGAGACCAAATCCTGACAAACTTGCCCGCTAGCCTCAGATAAATGGCTTCAGGTTCCTGGGCCCCTCTGTGTTACCTGTCAGATGTAAAGATTGTACACAACATCCTCTCCAGTTCCTTCTGATATTAGATACATATAAAAGACCAGACTCCACGATTTTGTGATGACGGCAATTCCCATACCAAACCTTATATTGCTCCCCCCCCCTTTCTGGGCTGTATTCCCCAGGGACATTACATAATTGGATGTGATATTTGATAAAGGTACTATCCGGATGCAGAACCAGTGTTAGTCCTAAAGGAGTTAATTTGGCTTGATCCTTGGATCACTGTATCCTTATCCAAACAGATCACACCCAGGGAAAGAATTATTAAGTGCCTGACAAAACCCTCATAACTAATTAGTAAACAATGATCCCAAGTTAGATTATGCAACTGACACCTAAGCCAATGCTCTAATGACAATGTAGGTCCTTCTCCCTGTTCCCCTACCCCTATCAGAGGCTTCCTTCTCCAAACAGATGCTGGTCAATCTCCCTCAATCACCACTACCAACATACATGCATACACACACACACACTTGCTCACTCACACTCACACATTGCTGGCATGAAGAGCGTGGTAGCTGCTGATATATGCTGGTGAAATGCTAAAGCCCTGATCCACTCCAGATGGTTCTGAGGTATCCGCAACAATGGAAAGTTTGGGGTTCTGGATGAGTTAATTTCTACTCTAGCTGTGGCTAGCCAGGAGCTTGACCATGTGCCTGATACCTGACACACCTATGTTATATGTCTTAGCATTAATGATCATCCATGTGCATGCTAATACCCAGCGTTTCTTGTTTGGCTAATGCTCAGCGTAAACTACTACACCCAAGGATACCTAAGCGAGGTGTGTGAGTGAGACAGAGTCTGTTCATGTTAGAAGAGAGGGAGGACCTGTGTTCTGTGTTTTGTTTGACTCACAACAAGGACTGCAAGCTCTAGGTTCTTAGAGTTGGCCATTAACCGTCCACATGAATCCGATATGGATTCAGAATGCACTGTAGAGGACCCTGTTATTTATCCATCCCACATCTTGGGAACCTGCTCCTCCCTCATGTCTATCATATGATGTTTGAAAGGGCTACCAAAGACAGTAGCCAGTTCCCCTGGTTTGGGCACAATAATTGGTCCAGAAACAGGCCAATTAGAATCCTTCCCTAAAATTTTATTCAATATTGAGCAGGAGGAAAGAGAGTCTAGCCTTTGGGTCACAGAGCTATAAAGATAGGAACTAGAGGCCACATGGAGAAAATCTGTAGGAGAGAAGACTGGAGCCAACGTAGAGCAAAACGTCCAAGACAAAGATGGAAGGAGAGAGGATGGGAAAAGACTTTCTGGACCTTCCTGTTTATACAAGTTAATGATTCTCTTTTTTTGTTTAGGTTTGAGCTGGGTTTCTGAAGTGTGCAGCTCAAGTGACCTCACACAGTCAGAGCCATACTTGGAGCACATCTTCAAATGTGTTCCATGCTTCAGGATCTAGGTGGTGCTTAGGAGATGGGCTACCACACGTTTAAAAGGTCCTTATTCCTCCTCCTCCAAGGCAGAAAATTCCTGAGCAAGATACACTCTCAATTCAGCATCACTAACTACCAATGTTAGTGCCTTCCCTTTGTATCCCCGGCACCAGTGGTGACCTGCCAACCTCAAGAGTCCACAAGGACTCTTCTATTTCAACTCATCGAGGCTTGAAAAATAAAGGCTGGCCAGACAGGCGAGGCAACTGACTGATGATTTTTGAAAAAAGGACATCTTCCTAGTGGTCGAGCCTCCATTCCATCCCCCCGGGTGCTCACTCCCTCTGCAGGTCTGTCTTCAGAGCACCAAGAGAGTCCCCTCAACAGCCAGACACTGCTGGGTACATGAGGCCATGGCATTTCCTCATAGAATAAGGCCTCTGAAAACCTTCCCGAGAAAACACCTTACAGCCCGGCCACCTGACTTCTACGGGACCTTTTCAAAAGAAAGCTGCCACACACAGTTACTGAAAAGGGTGATACTTTGAAAGCAAACAGCTGCCCCCTCTCTCCAAGTCTGAAGAGCTTCCCAGTGAACCAGGAGCCATGAAGTCACAGCAGCTAGGTGGGGGTGGCACCTCAGCGACCTGTCGCACCCTTTTCTCTTCTCTTTAACACTTTTGTCTCCTCTGTGTAGAGATAAAGCTTGGCAGGTTATGGGCAGGCACTGCCTGGATGCTGGGCTGAAGTTCTGGACTTGTGGGAATGCTCTTCTTATGCCCCATAAAGTCAGCGCGCCCCAGGCTTGGAGGAGCTTTGGCAGCTGTCCCCCTGGGGGCAAGGGAACGCGGCCGGCCGTATCCCACGGTACAGTCAACAGCTCCTCATCACCAAAACAAAAACACAACAGTCCTGATTGCCATGGAGAGTTCAATCCCCTTGTCTGGGATTGGCACCGACTAAAATTCCAAGGGCTCTGGCTAAACTACCTCCTGTGAGGTCTAAATACAGCACGCTCACTTTTAACCTAAACATACAGTCTGGACCACTGCCTGGGGCTGACAGCCCCCCAAGGGCCAGGCCGAGATGTCCTGACTTCCGGCTGCCCCTTAGGCAGTATGCATTGCAGTGGTAGAGATGTGATGTCCACCAATGTCATCTGTGGCCAAAGAGTGGGGAAAGTAATCAGCTTGTGGAGGGTTAACTGCAAGTATGACCCTGAGCACAGAAATGCATCTTGGGGAAGAGGGTGGAGAGAAGAAGGGAAAGAGAAAGGGAGGAAAAGGCAGGAAGGACCAAAGACCTATTTCTTAGCCAATCAAAGTCAAGGGATCTTTCTACAATGTTGGCTCCCAGGAGAATGGAATTTAGGGTGCAATCTCTTGAATCAGACCAAAGTTGCCTCCTTGTTGTGTGATCTCGAGCTAGATAATGGACTTCTCCGTTTCCATAGCTCTAAAATGGCCCAAAGGACCATGTAGTAGGTGTTCACTGAGACCATGTTTATATAGTTCCTGGCACACAGAAGTTGTTCAATAAATAGTAGCTACTAGCAGTAATAGTGGTGACAGTAGAAGCAAGATAATGCCAAGCATGCATTTATTCTCTCTGCCTTGGAGAGGCCACCACTCTAAGACAGAAGCTCCCACCCAGGGTAAGCTGTGCATGTGCAGGCAAAGGAAATCTTCAACCAAGCAAAATGCTCACACATACCCATACCTATTAAGGACCTTAGAATGGCAAAATGGCAACAGCTTCCTAACCTCCTGGCAAGCGAACACACACACCTCTCAAAGGTAAGAAATGTCTACACAGGATTTTCCCTTACCTTGGTGTTCATACAAGACTTCCCTCGCTTGTACTCCTTATGGGATCCACGTTTGTCCAGTTTGTACCACAGGGCTTTGGCCTTCCAGGTGGTCACCTTGGACTTGAGCTTGGAATAAAAGTTCCGGTGGTCCAGAGGGTCTAGGTCAAGGTGTCGCGTGAGGATGTTGAAGGCCTGGAGGGTGCCTTTGCACGTGGAAGCCTGGACAAAGTTCTCGAAGACCTGCCCGGCCTGGGTCTGCTTCTCATCCTCGTTTTCCCCCATGTTTCAGCAGCTGTGTAGAGCAGTGGTTTGGACAAGCTAGAGGAGAACACCATGAAGTACCTGGAAAAACATCACACCTGCAAAGGAAGGTGGGGGCAGAGGTGAGCTCCATGGTAATGAGACAGGGTTGGGGAATGGGTGCTGAGAGGGAAAAATAAAATTCCTTTGGGATGCTAAGCATACTAAACATAACACTTAATGCTAAAGATAAATCATCTATAGAAAAGGTACAATCATGCCTTCTGAGCTGGCAATGCTGTCTTGCTGGCTGTCTCTTTCCCCTTGCCAACACCCCACTCCTCTCACTGGCTGTAAAAGAATTACATACAGGTCACTCAAAGATATACCTTGGCTGATGTCAGCATTACCTGGTCAATCTTGTTATGAGCCAGATAGTTCTAGAAATAACAACTAGTAAAGGGCGGGGGGACAAACCAGAAAAGCACACCAGATGTAGCAAGCACCACGGAAATCTTTAATTCGTGGTGCTACAAATTAGTTGAGTAATATTAGTGTAATCTAGCCCCGTGACATTAGCACACAGACCAAAAAATTCAAAGCACCTCCCTCCCTAGAATTCATGGCCTTCTCACATATCCTTAGACACAAAACGTTAAAGTCTTCCTCCACTAGTTACCAGAGGGCAGGTCTTTCCCCTATACAGATGACAAATGGCAACTTCTTGAAACTTCTCTCTACTCCCAGTATCAGCTGCAAGCACAGCATCTACCTCAGTCAGACATACAGAAAGACACAGACACACATGGGTCTCCTCCCAATGCGCAAAAGGAGTCTGTGCTCTGTGAGCCCAAGCTGTGAGTTGTTTGGAACAAGTGCTGAGGCCGATGGAAGGAAAAATGCAATGGGTATTCATTCACATTACGAAAATAGCTCGCCTGGGTTTGGGCCATTGGCCTGTCTCTCTGCACCACTCTAACCTCAGGCATTTCTTAGGAAAGTCATTCAAGTTTCAAAGGAACAAAAATAAGTTAGGGTCGATTTTCCAAAGCAATAGCTATTTTTCCAGAACCCAAAGCTACTGCAAGAAGACAAGTGTAGAGGAACTAGGGTTGGCCCAGCTGTCAGGAGGGCTCGGGAGGGTCTGTAAACAAGAGCACACAGCATATCAAGCTTCCCCAGACAGAGGCCTGGTGGGAGGAGGTCAGCAAATACAGAGACAAGGCCCTAGGGCTGGGCGGCTTCCCACTCTCCAGACAGAAACACTGTTGTGGGTGCATTTGGATTGTGGGCTGGCCTTACAACATTAAAAGCAGAGCAAAGTGTTTATTTTCTTCCTTCATCCTTTACTCATTCATTCAGCAACAATTACTGGTGCCTAAGCAAGAGCCATGCAGCCCCCAGGTACTGAGGATGCAGAGATGGGGCCTAGGGAGGAAGACAGGTGTATGAAGAGTTGATTAGAGGACAACAGGAAAGCGCTTTTAAAAGATGAGCAAGGTGCATGGAAGCCAGATAAGGAGGTGTCTGAGAGAGCCGAGACGTGTCCAGAGCAGCCACGGGGTAGCAGGCAGGGGGAGTGGAGGATGCCCCAAACACTACAATTTTAGGAACAAGATGAATTTCACTAGAAGACTGGGGAATAGAGGTTCTCAGGCAAAGGAAAGGCCATACAGATGTGAGTCGGGAAAGAGCCAGCACACAGCAAGCTCAGAGCTCCTAGAGTTCAGAACTCATGACAAGGTGTGGAGGGAGCATCCAGGGCAGATCATGGAGGGGGCAGGAGACAGAGCGACAGGGCAGAGAGGAGCCTCTGCGAAGATGAGGTGGTGGGAGGCGGTAACGAGCAAGGTAGCTGGGAGAGCCCCAGGAGAGAGGCGCGCACTCGCATGCTCACACGGTGTATGGCAGCCCGCAGGCAGCACCTGGGGGGGGGGGGCTGCTGGGGGCAGACACCCAGATGCTGCTGGCCATGGGGGCGCTGACAACAGCAGGGACACCACCCCTCACCCGGTCCCCAGGAACCTCCGACATGCCTGGCACCGTGCGTGGCTGAGGGCCCATTCCCTGCGCCAGGCCTAGCCCGGGGCACTCTTGAGCCAGGCCTCTGTCCTCCAGGAGCCCTGACCTGGCGGCTCTGCTCCCCGCCACCCTGCAAAGTCACCGCGCATGGAGAGCTGGCCCTGTGTTTTGCCAGGTGCCAATAAGACACGGACTCCCTCCCAGATGCTCCCTCGGCTCCTTAAAGGTCCGCAGTGCTCACTTTGGCATCGCTCACATAAACACTGCCTCCTACTGTTTCAGCTCTTCCCCAGGTACAAGACTTACCACCCAGAGAGCATAAACAGAGAGCAAGACTCGTTTGCTTTTCAGAGGGAAGGAACATCCCCAGTCTCTATCTTTGGAACCATTCCTGTGCCCAGCACTGAACAAAGGATGCGGCCGTTGACAAAGACAAAACTACTTGAATTCAGCTGGCACCCTGTAGTCCTTTCTGGGGATGGGCAGATGGTGCAGAGTAGAGCCACCTGCCCATCCAGGCTTTGGGGCTATTGGAGCTCAAGTCCAAGCTCAGTTTGGCCCCTGGCTGCCCTCACGGCCTTACACAAGCCATAGAAGCTGTGAGCCTCAGTTTCTCCTTTTGTAGGAGACCTGGTACTCTCCACCTTGCAGGGTTGCTGTGTAGGGCGAGGTGTGTGGGGGCAGAGCCAGGCCCTGGGAGGCGCTTGGCAGATGTGGAAATGTGCACTGCATCTCTCTCACGTGGGGCAGATTCGTGTCCGGGGAATGCACCAGTTTGAAAAAACACTTCTGTACATCAATTCTTCAAGTTGCCAGCTCCCCCTTGTCTAAAAGGGTGAACTGTTTAGAGATATCAAGCCAAACCTGACTCCCAGAGAATCATTTACAAACTGGAAGAACCTGTATCCTTCCCACTCCAGCTGCCGTCCCTCCTCCCCCAAAAGAAAACCGAACGACTTAATCTTAGGGTTCCAGTGGAGAACCAAAGGTGGCGTGGAGTGTGCTGGCTGTGCATGGGGGCCCTAGGAACTCGGTCTTCTCTAGAGGGAGATATGGGGTGGGGGTGGAGAGGGGTGGCCGGACAGCAGACGGTGCTCCTTGGACTGTACGCTAGCAGCTCGTACCAGGCTCAGACCTGCCTCCCTGGTCTGAAGGGTCTGGTCTCAACCTGCAAAATCAGCTTTGCAGTTGAAGTCAAAGACCTTAAAAAAGACCCTAACACCCATGAGGGTAGGTTTCCTCAAGGAAGAGCCTCAGACGGTTTGGAGTCTAGCAGATGAAGGTGTGAATCTGGTCTCATGCACCTGCTAGGCAAGTGATCTAGCGTATCTCAGCCTGTTTCCTCATCTGTAAAATGAGACAATCACACTGGCTTTGTAGGGTTATAAGGAATAAACTCAATCATGGATGTGATGTATTCAGCACCTGGCAGCTACATGATAACCAGCAGTCAATTACTATTCCTCAAATGGCCCAAATGTCATCAAATCAGAAGGGAGGGACTAGCTTCCCAGCTCAAGGAATTATCTGTACTTTAAGACTAGAAGTGGGGCAGCCCCGGTGGCCCAGCGGTTTAGTGCCGCCTTCAGCCCAGGGTGTGATCCTGGAGACCCAGGATCGAGTCCCACATCGGGCTCCCTGCATGGAGCCTGCTTCCCCCCTGCCTGTGTGTCTCTGCCTCTCTCCGTCTCTGTCATGAATAAATAAATAAAATCTTTAATAAATAAATAAATAAAACTAGAAGCCATAGGCTTTAAATTCAGACAATGTGGGTTCAAATCCACTTCCCAGTTGGATAGCCTTGGACAACTCACTTAACTTCTGAGATTTCAATTCTCTCAAATATAGAGTGGGGACAAAGGAGGTTTCTGTAATTTCAGTAATAAAAAACATCCTTAAAAAAATAAATAAAAAAAATAAAAAACATCCTTGATACAGGTAGTTCTGTTAGTGGGCCAGGAAGGCTGACTTGGGAGGGCTCTGGGAGACTGAGTCTGAGCTCCAGACCCCTTCTTCCAGAGACTGGAGTGGAATTTTTTTCTGGTGGGTACCCTTTCTCCTTCCCCAAAAGAAAATCGAGGATTAGTTAAATCAGAGGATCTCAGGTTATAGCTCTTGTGAAAATTTTCCTTGTCAACCACCACCCAGCTGTTGTTTTTTAGAGTCTGATAGGATATTTAGAGTTTAATATAAATAAACCCACCCAGAAATACGAAAGGTTTCTTCATTTTCTGGGAATAAATAAGATGTGATGCTTTAGTTTCCAAGAATAGCCCTGAAGCTATTTGGTTTTTGCCAATTGGTTCCTTATTTGTGGTTCCTGCCTGTGTGACTTCATGAGTCACAAAGCAACCCCCCTTTCCCTGCCCATGGCTGCTACAAATTAAAACTCAGAGCTTTGGATTGCTGGCAACAACAGCATGAGTAATGGGCTCAGTCCGGGGCATCTGGGAGACAAATTCAAGGTTTGGCACAGAGCCCCAAAGTACCTCTCAAATGAGAGAAGGCATTGCCTGGCTGAAGAGTTTCTAGGGTGCTCACATTGAGGACCCCAGCCTCTGTCTTCCCTGGGCCTCATCACCTGCCAAATGGCATCAAACAGTGTGACCAGGTAGTGGATAAATGACAGGTTTTTTTTGTTTTTTGTTTTAAGATTTTATATATTTAATCATGAGAGACACACAGAGAGAGGCAGAGACACAGGCAGAAGGAGAAGCAGGCTCCATGCAGGGAGCCCAATGCGGGACTCAATCCTGGGACTCCAGGATCACGCCCTGGGCTGAAGGCAGTCACTCAACCCCTAAGCCACCCGAGTGCCCCAAATGACCTCGCCAATGAGCCCCCAGGCAGGGTCGGTTTTCACCCTCATGCACTCACAGTGTGGTCAGAAAAACTGGAAGCCCCGGCCCCGAGCCTCACACACAGAAGACCCTGGATCCAACAGGTGAGGTGAGGCAAGAGGCAGCCCGGGAAGTATCCCCCCAGGGACACTGCATCTCTGCAGAGCCCAGGTTCACAGGTGAGGCCTGCACACCTCATCTTCTCACCTGGCCAGAGGAGGCCTGGCTTTCCATCTACAAGGACATACAGCAGCCAA